CTGACCATGCGTCATATACTGGACTTAAGCACTGAAGACAGAACCTGAAAGTGTTAGTCGCTCAGTCATGTCTTGACTTTTTGTGACCCCATGGATGTACCCTGCCAGATTCCTCTGTCCCTGAAATTCTCCAGGCAAGAATACTGGAATGGGTTGCCATTCCCTTCTCCAGGGGATCTTCTCAACCCAGGGATCAAACCCAGGTCTCTTACATTGCAGGCGGATTCCTTACCATCTGAGCCACCAGGGAGAGCTACTGGAGAGAAAGCAATTTACAAAAGGGTGCATTTAAAATCCCTACCTTTATGGGTTTCCATTCAGGTGATAGTGGAGAAATATACAATAAACAAAATAAAGATGTAAAATAAATACTATATTCCATTAATCCTATGATGAACATTTCTTCACATTTTATGAAACCTAAAATTGGGATGCATTTTTTGATAGGTAGTATCTGACAGTCAAAGCTATGGTTTTTTTTCCAATAGTCAGGTATGGATGTGAGGGTTGGTCCATAGAGAAGGCTGAGCACCAAAGAACTGATGCTTTTGAACTGTGGTGCTGGAGAAGATTCTTGAGAGTCCCTTGAACTGCAAACCAATCAGTCCTAAAGGAAATCAACCCTGAATATTCATTGGAAGAACTGTAGCTGAAGCTGAAGGTCCTGATATGAAGAGTTGACTCATTGGTAAAGACACTGATGCTGGGAAAGATTGAAGGCAAAGTAGAAGGAGGTGGGATGAGATGGTTAGATAATATCACTGACTCGATGGACATGAATTTGGGCAAACTCTGGGAGACAGTGGAGGACAGAGGAGCTTGGCATGCCATGCTTTTAGACCATAAGGTCGAAAAGAATTGGACATGACTTAGCAAATGAATAACAGTAACAATCTTTTTTTTCTTTCTCTGAGGTACACTTGATGGCATCTTAGAATGAAATGATGGATGAAATATGGAAAAATAATATATATATATGGAAGAATAAAGTAAGACTGATAAGGACTACAGAGGAACGTAAGCAGAGCAGAGGAAGAAGGAGTATGGGGAGACGGCAACTTAGAACAGTCAGGAGAGATCCAAGTAACATTTATGTGTGCATCCATGCACAGTTGTGTCTGACTCTACGTGACCCCATAGACTGTAGACCGCCAGGCTCCTCTGTCCATGGAATTCTCCAGGCAAGAATAATGGAGGGGTTGCCATTCCCTTCTCCAGCGGATGTTCCCTACCCAGGGAACAAACCCTGGGTAGATTATTTACCGCCTGAGCCACCAGGGAAGCCCAAGTAACATCTGAGCAGGCTTAAATAAGGTGAAGGGAGTGAGGCATTTCTCTACGTGGGTAGAGGAGCAGGCATCCAAAACACAGCAAAGACAAGCACAAAGGCCATGAGGGGAAATCAAGTTTCAGAAACCTAAGGAAGCCAGTGTTGCCGGAGTGGAGGGAATAAAGCAGGAAGTGAGTGAGGTCAGGGAGACAACAGAGAGGCCAGATCACACAGGGACTTGTAGACCACCTCCCTACCTAGTGCATAATCATTGTCTTGAGTCTAGAGAGGTCAGACAGGATAGTACATGAGAGCACAGGCTTTGGAGTCAGATTACCAATTTATGTTCCAGCTCTGCCACTTTCTACCTGTGTGACATCAGGCAAGTTACTCTCTGTCCCTGTTTTGTCATGGGAAAAAATGGGGCTAATAACATTCTTCACTTCATAAGGTTGTTGGGAGAATTAAGCAATTTATTTCTTGTAACATCCTTTGAATAGTCTAGCAAAGAGCTAGCACAAGTGTATTTGATACTGCTATTATTGTTTGGTTCTGAATGTCAATTACTGCTTCATCATTATCGATTTATTTTGCTGTGTGTTGTTTGGTTAATGGATAAAATTTAATGCAAAATTTTATCAACAATATTTTTGAACCCTGACTTTTCCAGTAACTAGTCTTTAAAAACCTATATGTGACTGATACATTTTAAACACAAATTATCACCTCCACTCATCCTCCGAAGCAGGTATGGATAAAACTCTACAGCATTACCACCACCCTCAACCAATGTTGTGCAATGATATTTCATTGTTATTGCTGAGTTTGCTATAGAAAATAAGAAAGGATGAGGAAAGTGGGACACTGAAGAGAGCCACTGGGCTCGGGGACTGGCAGCAAGCAAATCTAAAAACGAATTTCAAATCAATGAGTTTTGTTAGTTGTTCTGTTCTCAGAAAAATCACTTTTATTCACCCAAGTTAACATTTTGAAAACTGAAAGTCATTCAGTCGTGTCCGACTCTTTGCAACACCACGGACTATACAGTCCATGGAATTCTCCATGCCAGAGCATTGGAGTGGGTAGCCTTTCCCTTCTCCAGGAGATCTTCCCAACCCAGGGATCAAACCCAGGTCTCCCGCATTGCAGACAGATTCTTTACCAGTTGAGCCAAGAATTACATGTATCTTAATGATTTGTGGCATTCTTCCATTGAATATTTAGATATATAAAAGTGAGAAGTATAATAGCACAAGCAGTCACAATTTTTTCATGTTTTCTTTCCCTATATTTAAGAAATGGTTCTTGAGCATCTGCTATACTCACTGAAATTTGAAACAAAGCAGGGCATTTTGGAAAGGTTGGTGCCTTAAAACGGTTCTGCTAAAATGTGAAGGCGCTGCTTTTTATTACCAAATAATACATGTAATAGACATCCATAAGCCCCACTCCATCTCAGAGCTTTACCCCTAGAGGTGAGGAGAGGCTCAGAGAGGGGGTGAGACTTAAGGACCAGATGAAGTTCTTTGCAGATATTACTTGGTAATAAAAATGCTGAGCATTTATTGGTTACTTTTTTTAGGCTGCAAGGAAATGCCCTGGTGGAAAATGTCTAAAGCAAACTGTCAAGTGTCCAGTTTTAACACAGAGGACAATGCTTAGTGTACAATATTTTCGGCAGTATGATCCCCACTGTTCTTCAACTCACATAAGCTTAAAACCTGGGCACCTGGAAAGGGAACTGCACCATAGTCTTTGTGGTATGTATTATCTGCGATCCCACCTTACAGATGAAAAAAAAGACCTTCCTCCTCATCATTATATTCGTATATCCTTTAATGTTTTCTTCATGTATCTATCAATATCACCTTTTATGGGAGAATGCTAAGCCACAGAGGCAGAAAAATGAAAAACACAGTCTGCCATTAACAGTCTGGCTCAGTGGGCATTTATTGAGAGCTTCCCACGTATCAACAACTGCAAAGGAATAGCATATACACATGTATCTAGATTTCAGGAAGAGCTTTCTGAAGATACCAAAGTTAAATTTTAAGAAACTAGCAGGAGTTTCCTTGATGAAGTGGAGGGAGGGGAAGGACATATCCAGGCATATATCCAGAGTATGTGGGGGAGGCAGGAGCTGAAAAAACAGGCAAGAGCCAGAACATAACAGGCCTATACATCAAGCTAAGGAGTTTGGATTTTATTTTGGGGTGAATGGGCGACAACCGGAGGATTTTCATAAGAGGACTAATGTGGACAGATGTTTTGTCATTGTCAGACTCACCCAAGAGTGGACTTGCATGACCGAAAGAAACCCAAGGCTTAAATGCTGACAAACTAGTTAGGAAGCTATTGCCCGTAATCTTGGTGAAAAATGACGAGAACATAAACTATGTCAGAGGCAGAGAGCATGGAGAGTAGAGACCTATTTGAAAAGTAGTCTATAAATAGGCATGACAGGATTTGACTACTGGACCTGTGGGGGTGAAATCCAGAGTTTCAGATTCCTCCCAGCTTCCTCCTTCCAGCTTAGGCAATTATTTGGCTAGTGGTACTAATGAGTGTGGCAGGGCACATGAACGAAGCATACTGATTTTTTTTTTTTTTTTTTAAGGAAGGCTGGGGAGTCTGAGACCTGTGGGGCATCCAACGGGAGAGGTGTATGAATCAGTTATAACTAGACTCTGCGCTTTTACGTTCAAGACATTGACAAGACTACTCCATAACATGTGTATCTGGCACTCTCATTTCGAAAGAAACAAGGCATACGGATTTGAAAAACGAATATTTTTCATGCTAACCGCCCCCCGCCACACACACACGCTGAAAATGTAGGAGTTTAGTGTTAATAACAAAACATCATGTTCCCTGCTGCTAAACTGACACTGCAGATCAACGTATTTTCTTTGGTAAGCCAAATGCAGGGTTGGCTTGGTTTCCTCCTCACACCCCTAGAAAATAGCGGTGTACCTGGTATTTAGATCCAGGAATTCCTTTTGGCAGGTTGGAAGAGCAAAAGCTGAGAAATGCGCCCTCCCGTGGTAATGGAATAAGGGGCTCAAGTACCCTTTTTTCCACCAAACAAAGCCCTGTAAAGAAATGCAATTTGTGGGGATGAGAAGGCCACAAAGCTCGTACTGGTATACCGCAAAACCAAATGAACCCTCTCAGAGGCCGGGACCCCTTACCTGTCACGTCGGCCGAAGGAAAATTTCACTTTCGACTCAACCAAATACGACCCCAGACTTGACAGCTTGCAGTAAGTCCCGCCCGGCAACAATTAAACACCTTGCAAGCCAAAATGCGTACACAATTCGTGAGGTCCCCTGCCGGCAGGGCCGGGCTCGGACCACGTGGGTGGTTGGGGCCAGCAGGAGGCACCAGCCGAAGGCGGGAGTGGGAGGTGTGTTCTTACGGGGGAGGGCGGAGCCTGCGCAGTGGGCGGGGCTTGGGAGGACCCGGGCTACCATCCTCCTCTCGCCTACTTTCCCCCTTTGCCTTCGCCCTTCGAGCCGCCACGTAATGCCACGTCCCCGCGCATGCGCATCTCAACTGGTGGCGGACGCTGTTTCCGGGCTTAGGGAGCTGGAGCGGCCGCCGAGTAGGCTGTGGCGGTGGCGGCCGGGGAGTGCAAAGTGCAGGCTTGGGGGTCAGGCCCTGCGGAGGACAGGGGAAGTTATCTCTTCTTTTCCGAAAAGGCCGGTAGAGCCCGTGGCTGAGCGGCAAGATGAATTTCCTCCGCGGGGTTATGGGGGGTCAGAGTGCCGGACCCCAGCACACAGAAGCCGAGACGGTGAGAGGAGCGGCGGGTCCGGGACTTGGGAAGGGTCCGGGCAGAAACCGGGACGGAGGACATGGGGGCCCGGAGGTCCCCCCCCCCACTGTGCGTCACCGTGGGCCGGGAGTCTACATGCCGCCTCCCCTTTCCCCGTGCCTCTCTTCCTCTCCTGAAACCCGCAAGTTATTCCCTCACACCCGCAGCGCAACCCCCAGCGCGGCGGCTTGGCCTTGCTGACAGCAGCCGCGCCTCGAAGCCCCGCAGGCCGCTTGGTGGTGGTCCGCGGTGGTACCGCCGGGAAAGTCATCCATCCTGGGCAGAAGTGGCCTCCCACGCCCTTCGGGGCCGCGGGCCTGTCCCTCCCGTTTCGCCAGTGTCTTCACTGGCGGTGATTAACCTAAAGTCCACCTCCCTCGCAGTCTGGAATGGGGCTTTGAGGAAGACTGCCGGAAGGTTTAAAACCCAGCAGTTGACCAGAACAAGTGTCTAAGAATAATACGATAGTTTGGGTCACAAAGCCACCTGCCCCTGCCCCTTCAACTGGAGGCAGGTCGTTCTTCCAGGTGTTATTAGTTCGGACCCCGTTTTTCAGCCTCACCCACTATTTGGGAAATACTCGCTTGGACGTTGTGGTGATCTTTCGCGCTCAAAATGCTTTGGGAACAGGCGTCCCTTCCATTCTCCCCATTCAGAAGTCTGAACTCGTGGTAACGGGATTTGCAGCGTCACTTTAAAAAAATTGTTAGCTACTCAACACAGTTTTTGTTAAGTTGGTTCGATTTTAGGTTTAGGATAAATCTCGAAGTTTGGTTCGTGTCTGTTAGGAATAAGTGTATGACTTTTTTTTTTTTTTGGTTTGACAGTAATTTTAGGTCTACAAAAAAGTGACAAAGTATGACACTGTAAAAGTAAACTGTGGTTAGTATTCGTATAGCTACTGAGTTGTCTATGAACGTTGATCCTATGTTCTGTGTTACTGGGATCCTGAAGGTCCAATAATAGTTTTCATCTGTCAGACTGTTCTTTGTAGTTTACATTCTCATTCTCCTTAGATCCCCAACCACCTTGCAGGATAGGTGATAGTATCCTCACTTTACAAATGAAAACTTGAGGCTTAGAGAGGTGAAGTCACTTGACCTAAGTCACACTGCAAGTAATGGAGCCAGGATTCAACCAAAGCTGCCTTACATCAAAGCCTAGGCTTTACTGCTGATGTGTGTATTTTAATACATATCTGGGAATTTTGGAAATTTATGTAATTATTAAAATTAATATCGTCTGAGTTAGAACTGTTGAAAGCAGAAGCTGAAAGCTGGTGAATCTGCCTTCCTTCATTTGAAAATCAGGAGATTTCACACACGGTCACGTGCACACACACATGCGTGCATACATACACATACACATGCTCTCTCCAGGTTACCATAGTCACAGCCCACCTCTTCAGCTTTTGTTCATGTATTTTATCTGTCTGATATTTTTGTTTGAGGCACCAGGTTTTAAAGTGTGGTTTATTAGAACTTGATTTGAATCCTTGCCTTCCACCTCTCATTGGATTGAACAGGCAAGAGATGACTAGTGTGAGTAAAATCAGAAAAATGCCTACTCTAATGGGTGTAATGAGGATTAAGTGAAATAAAAAATGGAAAGAACCTAGCACTTAGTATGTGTTCAATAAAAGCTAAGTTTTTATTACTTTTTTTTTTTTCTTTTTTTGGCTGTGCTATGCAACATGTGTGATCTTAGTACCCAGGCCAGAGACGAAACCTGTACCCCCTGCCTTGGGAGCTTAGGGTCTTAATCCCCGAAGTGCCAGGGAAGTCCCTTATTACGTGTTTTCAGGGAAAGAATACTTTTTTTTTTGTTATAGTCTTGTCACAATGTCCTCTCTAGCAAAGATGGTGCACAACTAATTGATTATAGGATTTTAAAGCTGAAAGTCCCTTTGCAGATCATCCAGGTGGAACCCCCTCATTTTACAAGTTAGGAGACTGGAGCACAGAGCTCTGAAGCCACTTGCACAGTAGAGCTGAGACTAGAGCACTTTGATCTTGCCATAGTGAATGGAGCGACATAGCTTTTATATCATGATTTCAAAGGGAGACTGGAATCACTTGTGTATCATGTATATATAAACTGAAAGGAAAGTGGGAGGCCTTGTTCTTGTCTAACCTTGAACGTATATATTCAAAATTGTAAAACCAATGTCTTCTGATGAGAATTAATAGTTTACTCTGAGTTACTGTTATGCTATTTACTCAGCATGAATAAAATTTATTTCACCATCTCATTCCATCCGGAAGAGTAGTTGGTTAATACAGGGTCATAAGTTACTAATTTAGGAGTATTTATAGGGCATCGGTAGACTGTTGGTATAATATTAGATCTTTTAATTGGTGATTTGATGTGACCTGGATATTCTAGTTGCCAGAGCTTAGAATTTCTAACTTCTGCTTTATCAGTATTTTTTAGTTTCCTCCATTTCTGCAAAGTTATATTATTTCCATTGTGGTTTCCCTTCTTTTTTGCTTTTCTCATCTTTTCCAGTGGAAAGCCTCTTTTCATTGTCTTAAGTTCTACCTCTCCTTTAAATCCATCATGGATCCCTTCCCTAATTTGCACCCCTTATTTTTCCATCCACTAAACTGCAGATCATATTTCTCCTCTGATTAATCTTCAGATTAACTAGACTGTGCATTTCTTAGACTTTCTACCCTTTATATCTGCTGCATCTCTTCTAGACTCTTAAACATCTTTGGTGCAGTGTTCATATATATTTTAATCTCTTTTTCCATAGTAGTACTAGGTGTTAAAACAATAACTAGGTGTTCAAACAATACTTTTTAAAGACTGTAGGAATCAAAGTTCTGAAATGATTGAAATTCATTATGTCAAACTTTTTACTTCAGGGATTTTTCAGATTTGCTGTGCTTTGACTGCTTTCCTGCTTTTCCTTAAACTTCTCCTAAATGTTTGAGTTGTATTATTGATTGTATGGTACCTAGCTTTTCATACTCAGTTAACAGTAACTTTGGGCTGGTATTAAGGTGTTCTCTAGAAACAACGTAGTAAATATCTGTGTTTATAGCATATGGTGGTCAATAATTCTATAAAGTTTTAAGTATTTAAGTCTGGAGTTTCATTCACATTAAACCTTTCATATTTCATAGCATCAGATACTTTTTAATTTGATTTCTCTTTTTTGCTTCAGTAGAGAAAGGCACTAACTGGTTTCTGATGATTAAAGCCTCCTTGGCCTTGGCATACTTTGCTAGGTCCAGATAAGCACTGATTATGGTAAATATCCTACTCATTTGTTTGGGTGCTCGTGCTAAGTGCTGTGTCACCTCAGTCCTGTCCAGCTCTTTGTGACCCGATGGACTGGTACCCCACCAGGTTCCTCTGCCCATGGAATTCTCCAGGCAAGAATACTAGAGTGGGTTGCGGTGCCCTCCTCCAAGGGATCTTCCTGACCCAGGAATTGAACCTTCGTCTCTTAAGTCTCCTTCTTTGGCAGACAGGTTCTTTACTACTAGTTCAAACTGGGAAGCCCTTTTGAGAGCTCATACATGCTTAATTTTCCATCTACCTTCCAACTAATACCTTCTTTTTTGAAGGTGAGTTTCTTGCAGATTCCAAGAAAAATGTTAACTATTTGTGATGATGAATCATAGGGGTGGGGTTCTCTTCTCAAATTGTGTCCCAAAACATGAAAGCTGCAAAAGTCCAGAAAAGATATGTAGAATTACTGTACTGCTAAAGTGTCTTTTTTTAGATCAGACTTTGGTCAGCTGACTTGAAAAGCAAAAGGGCTATATGGACACAGCTGTAGTTTCTTTTAATAAAAATTGTTATTAAGGAATGTGCACTTAAATTTAGACACAGTTTTTGTTTAGTCAAGCACATTATATACCCCGCTACTATAAAATGTGTAGCCTGAAACTCCTATATCTGGCTTCGTGGTTCATATTCTACATTAATAACCCGGTCACTGTTGGAACTGGTAGGCGTTTTCTCTCCTGGCTCTCTCACAATAACAGTGTCAGAGAAAGCCATAGTAATGATTTGTGTTTTGATCACTATACCCAACCAAAGGTGTCTCATATTCTTTAAAAGTAGTGCCTACTGAAAACTCCATGGCTTTCTTGAAGGTTAATTATGTAGAGTATTTGTATCATTTAAAATTTACATATCAAAGTGTGTCCCAAAAAATGTGAGTGGCTGTAGTTGAAAGGATTTTGTTACTAAAGACATATACTGTGTGATGGTCAAAAACAAAACAAAAAACCTGGTATTTGTACAAGGTTTATTAAACAGACAGTATGTTACGTTTACAAATATTTTCCAGATGGAGTTAGAAAGTAAGTTGTGTTTGTCAAATCTAATTGATCGTATCCTTTTTCTGCCTCCAGGAAGACCTCCCTGTAGGTCTAGTGTTCTGAGAAACATATATTGGATAAAATGTTCCTAAAGGATATATTTTTTAAAGGAATGCTGCATTTATTTTTTTTTTTTTCCATTTATTTTTATTAGTTGGAGGCTAATTACTTTACATCATTGCAGTGGTTTTTGTCATACATTGAAATGAATTAGCCATGGATTTACATGTATTCCCCATCCCGGTCCCCCCTCCCACCTCCCTCTCCACCCGATCCCTCTGGGTCTTCCCAGTGCACCAGGCCCGAGCACTTGTCTCATGCACCCAACCTGGGCTGGTGATCTGTTTCACCCTAGATAATATATGTGTTTCGATGCTGTTCTCTTGAAACATCCCACCCTCGCCTTCTCCCAGAGTCCACAAGTCTGTTCTATACATCTGAGTCTCTTTTTCTGTTTTGCATATAGGGTTATCATTACCATCTTTCTAAATTCCATATATATGTGTTAGTATACTGTAATGGTCTTTATCTTTCTGGCTTACTTCGCTCTGTATAATGGGCTCCAGTTTCATCCATCTCATTAGAACTGATTCAAATGAATTCGTTTTAATGGCTGAGTAATATTCCATGGTGTATATG